CGTTGAATCAATACTCTTTGTCACGTTTGTCGTAGATGTTACTAATCACGATTCAAATTAAAAATCGGTTTGTCATAATTTCGTATATGTGTATCATTAGAGAACATATGTAATACCCGGGTATAAATCACGATCGGGTCCTTCTAAACCTGTAAGGGATACACCGCAAGGGGGTACCCATGTCCGATAATACGGTATGTGTATGACACGACGCGCGAAATCACGCCCACGTTATTTGAATATATGCGCGTTATTTAGAATACGTGCATGGGCATTATTTTGGGATAAAGAAATCATTTATTGAGTACGATTTTCTATATATGCCTCTGATCAAGGCTGAGTCTAGCAAATAAAAATATCATGGATGGTGCCGAAATACTGAAATTGATCTATTTTATGCGCGATTTTTAAATTTTTGAGGCCTTCTTTGTTGGCCTTTTTTTAGGATTAAGTCAGGATTTGCAAGACCGAAATGTGTGGTAAGAGTTTATACCAAAATTATGAGTAGAAAAAGTTTTTTTTTTTTTTTTTTTTTAGAGCACCAAGAACAGTTTCGTAAGCAAAATTTTGAAATATCGATCAATCTGGAACGATTTAGAGTTAGTCGTTAATAAAAGAGTATAGGTGGATTTTGGTAGAAATCCCAAAATTCACGAAGTCTGGTTTGCCTTTGGCGACACTCATATGTTAAACAAATATTATCCCTTAACTGTACTTGAAACCGTCAATTAAATTACGAAAAAAAAAAAAATTAAAGTTTTAATAGTATGGATTATACTTTGCCTACTAATTTATCTATAATTAACATAACGGACCTTTCTATAACGAGCTCTGACATAACGAACTCAAAATTTTGAAATTTTATAAAAATTGCCACTGGTATTAACATAGTAATTTTCCTTGACGTACATTTTTTCCCCTAACTACCAGTTCGTTACGGAAAAAGTTGACTTTATTTATAAAAATAATTATAAATTGTCAAATCCTAATTTATGTATTTTTTCATCTTTTTTAAACTTGATATTATCCAAATCTTTCCACCAAGTAAAAAGAAATTTTTCTGATATAAGTTTAAACCAGGGAGTAAATTTCCAATCTTTAGTCATTAAAAAATATATATACATATATATGATGTTAATGGTTAGTAAGGATATAGCAAAAATTCTAAATATCAAAAGATACTAGAAACATACCGCCAGGGTTTTCAAATTTAAGTCTCAACTCTTCTAAAGACAAATATTCGACAGCTTTAACTTCATTTGGATTTATCTCAATGTCAACGTTAGCTCGGATGATAAGAACATAATCAACTAGATGTAAACTTTTGCTGTCAATAAATGCAGCTTTGCAAAGAATCAAGAAAATAATCTAGAAATGAAATGAAACGCACTTTCATGTTCACCCCAGATACCATCAGATGGAGCCAAATAATGGATTCTAGTTAAAAATGTAAAATCATCAATGGGAACCTGATGGGGTTTAATACCCAATTCATGTTGCAATTTTCTCTGAGCCGCACGACGGACACCTTTTCATTTAATTATATGAAGAATATAAAATAATTTATGCATAAGTAATTGTAAAATTCTGAATTTTGTAATTCTCAATAAATAAAACTTCTAATTATGAAAATATATATAGCCTTATAAGTGCGAAGTAATACTTAAGGGCGTTGTTTCGGATCATGGCCCGCATTAAGGCTGTAATTCGAAATAACGCCCTAAGCATTGTTTCGCGCTTATACAGTATATGATGGAAAGTTAAGTAAATTTGAAATTTCTTAGTGAAATATTTTATATAGAGCACACTCAAACAATAACCCTAACGCAAAATCTAAACTTAGCCAGACATAATTTATTTCTGTTATTAAATTTTAAATTTAATAAAGAAATCTTGAATTCATTTAAATTTCGTTCTTCATACAATATGAATATATATAATAAGGATTTTGATATTAACCAACTTGATCATTTTCATCCAATTCAAGAGGAGTATTTAAAGGATGAGAACAACAGGTATTTGTCCACAAACTGGGAAACGTAATTTTTTCATCGGAACGTTGTTGTAATAATAGCTTGTTCTCTGAATTGAAAAGAAAAACAGAAAATGCACGATGAAGAAGCCCTTTGTTAATGTTTTCCATAAAATGACCTAATATTTTATGATTAGAGAAAGCTAAAGAACATAATATAAAAATTAATTTAAATTTTAAAACAAAGTGTCGGAATGGATACAATTTTTCTTAGTATCAGCCCCAATTTTCTTATCATTCTCATCAACCAAAATACACATTTCTTCCATTAATCGAACTTGCTCGTCATTGTAAGCATCAAAACTAAAATTAACACTTGGCATCATTTTTTCGAAACGATTGCGTAAGTACTCAAAAAGTATGAAGAGAATAAATACGTAAGAATCCAATTACAATAAAATCGGTAATTTTTAATATGATCGAAGTGTAACAATGTAGATTGTGTTGCATAGTGAAAACCTGTAACTGATTATAGTGATAAAATATAGTAAATTCATTAAGTATTGTTGCAAGTTTTCACTCTACGTACAAACGCTCATTTACTTTTTCTGATTTGGTGTGAGTATCTTTTGGAACTGTTTTGGAACTTTTCGGGGGAATCTTAAGTTTCACAAATTTCAAATGATTGTAAAATAGTTTAGAGCGAAAATAAATTCTCCAATCTATATTTGTGCACATTATACCTTTTTTTATCGGATATTTTACTGAAAAAAAAAAACACGATTTGAAAAAAGTTTATCAAAGTTCATATCTGAGTACATAGTGTATGGTTGAAAATCGTTCGTAAAAGAAAGGTTTCCCCCCTCCTCTAATACGAACAAAAGCAGTATTAGTCGCTCTATCCATCAAAGAAGAGTACATTTATAAAGCATAATTTTGTTAAATCTTAGCATTAGTGTATATATATATTATATATATAATGCCTAATTCTGTAGTACGTACGTACGTACGTACATACATTCTTCAATACCTTCAC